AAGGCCAAGCCTTCGAATTAGTAGGGATCGACGTACAAAAGCAATGTTTTACTGTGTGTTGACCAATCACGGGTCCGATCTCCTGGAAATAAAATTTTTATGCTACCACAAAATAAAACAAAACAGAACAAAAAATCATTAAAATAATAATATCCAAAAAAAGGGTGTAGTATGTGTGCTAAGTGTGTGTGTTTTTTTTTTTTTTTTTTTTCCAATCTTAACACTCTCTATTTCTAGCCGTCTGTCTGGCTGTGTCCCATGTGGTGTTGTTGTTTCTGGGAGGATTCCTGAAGGGTGCATCCGCCGCCAGGTTGCCGTCTTTTTTTTTAGGTCTGCCGATCCCGTCTGCTTCCTTGGGGGTTCCACCGCCATCCTTGACATCAAACATCGAAGTAGTGGGAGTCCTTTTTTGGATTCAGTTGTCTTGTAGTAGTTTCCATAATCATGTAGTTGTCAGTCGACCTGGTGATTGCCGGGGAGAGGCGTCTTGGGGGGTTTAACTATTGTGCAGTCCAGATAGCGTGGATGGATGTGTTTTTTTGGGTGGATAGATGACCACGACGTTGAAGGCAAGGTGTGTGTGTGTTATAAAATATATAATTTTTAAAATTGTTGTAAAAAACACGTGCGATGCAGGAGCAGGACGCTAGTGAAAAATATTTTTGATGCAGATTGTTCAGGAAAACTTTATATAGAGTATTGAAAAATGCCTTGGTCAGTGTTTTTAATCAAATCTTCAGACAAAACATTGAGATTCTGTAGCACCCCTGATTGTCTGAAAAAATTTGCATTTGCCAAGTTTTTCAATGTACTTTTGTTTTTGAAGAAAATCAGCATGAAAAGCAAATTCGCTTGGTAACCAAAGTTCTACTGGGTATACTGTTTTCACTGTGTTCACTCGTATAGGTATAGCCGGCTGTGCTTGTGTATAGGTATAGGTATAGGAGTGTGTGCTTGTGTGCGTATGAGTGGCGTATCATCATTTTGCAGCACACACACCTTTTAGTCTGTCATATCGTATGGCAATGTTTGTGCAATAAAATTAACGCACGGCATCAGCCGTCGGCCAACTCCAGAAGGAACAAAAACATCATCAACACCACCATTATTGGCCATCGTCCTGTAACGAAGTCTGGTTTGATGTCCATGAGGAAACGAAAACTTCAAATATTCCTTCCTCATTTTTGTTTGTTTTCATAGTTTGGGCTTTTAGGCGCTATTGCGTGTTGATAGTTTGAGTTGTGCGTGTTTGGCACTCATCAGCCATTGGTGCCTTTCCAATTCCAATTCGTGTACTATTTGTTTGTTGCTACCAACTGACAAAGTAAAGCACATGTATGTTTAATGGGCGTTTATTTGAATTCTCTACGGTTATAGAAAAAATAAAGTAAATATGTTTTATATTTGAACTCATATGGTAATAATTAGTATTAATGAGGCCTTATCTGGAGTACTTTGGTTCCACCTTGAAGTCTGGCTTATGATGAACCTTCAACTGTAAATAAACTGCAACTCATTTAAAAAGCAAAAAAAAAACCATTTTAAAGTTGAAAACATGTTTGTCTACAATATTTATACAGCCATGTGAAATGAAGTTTTATCGAATCTAAAATACTTGTACAGTCATGTAAATTAAAAATAAAAAGGCCCTTGCATTGGGAAAAGTTCAATCAGACTAGTTGCTAGAATGTCAATGAAATAATAAACCGTATTTTCATACCGCAAAAAAAGTGTTGTGTATGAAAAAATGCAATAAAACATAAAATCAAAAGGGAACTCTAACTAAGAGAAGTCTAATCTAATCTATTTGGGCAGTATCCAAACCGGTCCAAACCACTCTCTCAATTAGCACCTATTTCTTATTATAAGTAATTTTAGAAGAAAATATTTGTATGGAAAATACAGAATTTATTTAATCATATTCACGGCTATTTTAATTTCTGGATTTTCTTCCCTTATTTTCAAGCCTTTTTCTGTTACGATATAAAGTTATGATGGACCTTCTCTCTACATAACACATATTAGACAGTCTCCAAAATCATTAAACCTCAATCAATGCTGTAATTACTTGTTTTAAATGTGATACTCTTTGAAAAAACGTCATAAATTACTAATACTTCCTGCTATACTTGTATTTTGTTAAAGAAATTGCGAAGCTAAAATGCTAAGCTTAAGTGTGCTTAGTGCAACGCCAATAAATATTAATAGTAAACAGCATGAATTAGCATATTAATTTCAAAATTGCAACTCAATATTCATATGCATACATTTTAATGGTAATTTATATTTTTATGAAATGATGCATTAATTTTTATAGGGACCTTAAAAGTTACTTTACTCATTTTAAAGTGCTGCTTTGTACAACCTTAATTTTTAATTTAACTTAAAATTAACAATTAACATTCATACATACATATGTATTTTAAAACCTATAAAAATATTCGTAAAGTTTGTGGCTTTCAACACATTGATCTTTTAGATTCATTTTGTCCCACTCAGCAGATAAGTTCTTCAAGAATTCATATAGAATATGATGTTGTGCTTTCTTATCTTTTGTACGATAATAAATCAGCCATACATATAGCTGATCTGTTTCTGATCATTATTTTGTTTCATTTTCATTATTTATGTATACAAATTAGCTTCTTTTTTTTAGAATATTTGCATCTAGTGTATTGTTTGTCAGCATAATCCGAAAATTGTATTTACGCCTAAATGAGATAAAAGGAAAACTATTCGTATTATGATTTCCATACCTTCGTACCATCATTCGTGTTTCTATTGGTAATTAGCAAAATGCAGAAAAACAAACAAACTCGTATGTACATTTATACATAAGCGCATAGAGAGTTTAATATGAGAAAAGAGCGCACATGAAATCAAGTTTATTTTATTTGCTTGTTGCCAATAAATAAATAAAACAAACTTTTGCTTAAAAATAAAACTCGACGTCATCGCGTAACTGGTAAAAAAAAACGAAGCCAAGAAAGTAAAGCCGAGCCAGTTAGAGCAGCAACTACTTACTACATACATTTGCTTATCTGTTGCTGGCCTTTTTTTGTAGCTGGTTTGCCTTCTTCGTCCGTTCATAAAAAATAAACACCATATGGCCTTTCTCCAAAATTCAAATAAAACAGTCATGACACAACTGTGCTCGGTCCAAAGCTAACTCACATCATGTGCGCCAACCAACCGCCGCCAACGCTAACGCCGACATCGCCACAGCCACCGCCGACCCTACCACCACCACCACCACCAACCGCACCCGTCTCTGTCATCAACACTTGGCACACACATGTGTGTCTGGCCTGCCCAGCTGGAATTGTTGGTCTATATTGTGTGCCGGCCGCTGCTGATGCGACTGTTAGCGGCAACGCGTCTCGCACACCGGTAATTGTGTGTTGTGTGGGTGGGCATGCACTGCAGAAACAAGTAAAAAAGCTAAAGTCGGGTGCCCCGACTTTGAAATACTCTGTACATATGTTTAGAATAATTATAGAAATTAAAAAAAGTAAGAGAGTCACAAAAAAAAATGTTTGATCGATTTTACCTCTTTTGGTATTCGAACTCACGTAAAGGGTGTATAATTGCACATATACAAAGCAATTGCATCTATGTGACTATGTGACTATAAAAATTGGAGAAGTATTTATACTCTGTACATAAAATGTACAAGAGTATATTAGGTTTGCGGGAGCTGAAAATGTAACAGGCAGAAGGAGGCTTGGCAGACCCCACAAAGTATATATATTCTTGATCAGCATGACGAGACGAGTCGATCTAGCCCTGTCTGTCTGTCTGTCCGTATGAACACCTGGATCTCAGAGACTATAAGAGCTAGAGACACAAAATTTTGCACAAAGATGTGTTATATGTGTACGCTATGCAAGTTTGTTTTATTTTTTTGATTTTCCCCCCACTTCCCCCCTATGGGGGTTTTCCCGATTTTCCATTCGTATAATCGCTTATATCTCGGAGACTATAAGACCTAGGAACACCAAATTCTAGTCCCAGGTGCCTTATGAGAATACGCAGAAAATGTGTATTTTGGAATTTCCCTTTCTCTCCCTTCTCCCCCGCAAATTGCGATTTTCTCTAACTTAATTCTTGGAATTTCGAACTAAAATTTTGTAAATACCCCCAGTTAGTAATTATGTGTCCGTACGCCAAGTTTCATCATGATTGACCAATTTAACAAGAAGTTATAACCATAAAAATATTTGCTGCTCAAGCGCTGCTCAAGCGCGGCTCAACTCTTAAATACCCTGTACCACCCCACAAAAATGAAATTAAATTAATTAAGTTAATTAATTAATGTAGCACTAAATATAGGGCTATTAAAGAGTTATAAGTTGAGCATATTAACACAATTTTTTCATGCCCATATATATATATAGGTATATATTCTCAACATTATATCTTCACAGGAATGTAACTGATAAATTAACCGTAGCCATAAAATGGATGTCTTTTTTTTTCGTTATTTTTATACAATGCGGCACAAATTCAAATTTGTCTGCAAAATTTTTGTTCCGTTCGGAATCTAGGGGGGGGGGGGAGGGGGGGGGGGGGCAGCTGGCCTCGCTACGGCCATGGGCATACGTACACTCACACAGACGCAATTGCTTTGTATATGTGCAATTATACACCCTTTACGTGAGTTCGAATACCAAAAGAGGTAAACATTTTTTTTTACTTACTTTTTTTAATTTCTATAATTATTGTATTATTATAAACCAAGCTCTTATACTTTCTGAGATCCTTGCGTTCATACAGACAGACGGATATGGCTATATCGACTCGTTTTGTCACCCTGATCAAGAATATATATACTTTGTGGGGGCTGCCACGCCTCCTTCTGTGTTTACGTGTGCTAAATATATTGCTTTAATTAGCGTAGCTTCAATAAGTAGCGGAACATTTACAATTCCATTGTCTGAATTGGTTGAAAGTTTACAAAATAATATTAGTTTCATTCGAGTTTCGAAATGACGCTGACGTTCCTCGCTGTCTTTTTACTCCTCATATACTTTGCTGACGTAAGCACATATGAGAAATTAAACATGGGTTATGTATTGGCAACGGAAACATATGTTCTCTGGTTTAATACTTGCAGTTGAAGCAAACAACCGATATTGAGTCATCGGTTAATCCCATAACGTCTACCTATGAAGCTGTTGACCCGGAACTGAACCCCGACATTTTTCCAAAAAGCGCAGAAATAGAGAACTGGGATAAGCCATTGGAAAACTTTAAAACAAGTATTTCAGCCAAATCGTCGAAAAAGTCGGGGAAAAACTCGCGAAAAAGGTTAACAAAACCAACTGCTATATCAAAGAAACAAAAGAAAATCTTTTTCAAATGGATCAAATGTGGGTTTCTCAAAGGAAGACTGGCTGCGCAAAAATTAATGTGTATTGGCTTAGTGCCTACTGTAGCAGTGTGTGCAACCAATATATTTAATATAACGAGGCATAGTATCATCATGGCAGGATATTCTACTCTCAAAGCATTTCTCAGCGCTCTTTGGGCCTCTCGAACTTATATATCTACTTTGATTCGTTTTTTAAAGAAAGTATTCATAGATAGTCAAATGATACGTTGCGCACGGTTGTGTTACATTGCTTATAAAAAATTAGAAGAGTATGACGATGATGTTGACCGTGAATGTTAAAATGTAATTTGTAAAATATTTGAAACATACATATTAATGCTTAATTAATATTCTGTCACAAGCGCAATTGAGAATTTGCCTATTTATGTAAGATTTGTGTTTTCAACCAGTAATTCAGAATAATAAAGTAAAGTGGGCAAATCTTTAATTAAATTGTTTTTTTTTAGCACCAGATAAAAGCAGTGGTTATACCAACAAAGCAATAATATTCTTGACAAATGGAACAAGTCACATTCTTAATACATTGTCGTTCCACCTGACTGTGTGTCTATATGTACGCAAGGGCTTCGCAAACTACTAATAGATTGTAGATCTATTGTATTTATAAGAATATTTTCTTTTTAATCAAAATATTGGGTCTTATAGCCAAAAATATGACGTTAAATTGCAAATTTAAAAATGTAAAATTTACTAAGGCTTAAAGGGTATTCCTATATGTATAGCTTTGAAGTCTATTAGTAAAAGCACAAGTGACAAAACGTGGAACGCTGGTTCTCCTAAGTGGTACTGGTAACGGTAATGGATTTTGACGTTTTAGGCCGATTGTACAATAGGTAATACAAGTATAGCTTAGCCACTCGCATACACTAAGAATAAGAGGTTTTACAAACAAGAAAGGAATGCTAGATTCGAGCGGGCTCAACTCTTTAATATCCTGTGCCCACCATATATAAAACAAATTAAAAAAAATTAATTTAAAAATTAATTAATCATATCGTAATGGACCTATCATGATGAAACTTGGCATACGGACACACAATCACCAACTGGATGTGACTACCAAAGAAATTTGGTAGTTCCTTTAGATATCACTCACATTATAAATAAACTTTTTATTGTAAGCTGTATGTATGTATTCTAAGAACTACGGGAGTTATGGAAAATCATAAATAGCGGAGGGGTAGATGCCAAGTTTGGTTATTCTACATCTTATACTTTCTGAGGTCCTTGCATTCATACGGACGGACGGACATAAACGCATGGGTATATCGACACGTCTTGTCATCCTGATCAAAAATATATAACTTTGTGGGGACTGTCACGCCTCCTTCTGTGTGTTACATACATGCGCACAAAACTAGAAGGCTATAAAAACAACAAATATAAAAAAATAAATCTTAATGAAGACTAGACTAGGCGTTAAAATATTTCTTGATCTTCTGAGAATCTGTATCTGATTCGAATAGCTTACTTGATCATTATTATGGTATTTCTATTATAGTATATATCTGTCGTATTTATAAAACAAAACTGATTCGATTTGATCTAAGTATTAACAGCTTTCGTCTTGGATGATCGATTTGTCTCGTCATGCCAATTGAGATTGCCTGTCTAGTACTTTGCACAAACCTTATATAAGGACAAAATGAAACCCCATTTGAAAATTTGTTGATGGCTATGGAATTTAATTCCAGTGGATCAACAGCAAATGTTTTCTGTATGATATTTGGATTTTCGTCAACTTATTCTTTAATTTTTCTCGTATTTTGCTTTATGACTCATGTTCTCAAGTCCAGTCTGATCAGTTCACAACCATTTAGAAATATTGTTAAGTTATTTGTGAGTTTGTGAGTTTGTTCGATATTCACGAATTGTACATTTTTGCTTCCGAAAAATGGGGTAAATGAACGTCTTCAGACAACTCAGGAAAATATTGGGCGACTACGTTTGCGATTTCTTTAATCTTTGTTGTGTAGTGTGAGTTCTGCGGAGTAAGGATGCTGTCGATATTCTTATTCGGGCTTAAGCCACAAAAGCGCGTGATTTTGGACCAAATTTTTGTAGATGGTGTAGTAGGGTTTGGGTTCTCGGCTGTAAATGTAAAAGTGCTTTACTTTATTAATATTTTAAGTGCTGTTTTCAACAGCGCTTTAGGTTTTCTACCGTTTATTATTTTTTCTGAGCAAATATATCTTTAAAGTACTTGCAGTGCTTTTTATTGATGTTTTGCGAGTGTGAATATTCTGCGCAGTTAAAGTTTGAGTAGAGTTTCTCAGCCCTCTCAGTTTTAAATTGGGTTAGCGATTGGCATGGGGTCGCTTCCATACTCCTATCTGCCCAGAACTTTAGACACTGAGCTCCGGAGAGCAAAAGGTAAGGTCGATGCTGGACTTGGTGTTGTGTTACGTTTAAAATATTTTTGCAATACATTTAGTTGAATTTGACTACATAATCTGTATCTGAGTCTAAAATAGTTATTCGAGATGCATTTGTTTCCAAATATGCAAACTCCCCTACACCCTCTTTTTTCCACTGTGCATATGTATATTTTTGTTGCTTTGGGAAGCCGTTAGTTGTAGCGTATGTATTCATTAAAATGTGGACACCGTTGTGGCCCTAACTCTGATCAACTCTGCACTACTAGCCTTTCTGCTGCAAAACACGATCGCCCACTTCCTTTGAAGTGTGTATTTTGTGTACTCCATATAAACACAGAAATATACCTATAAGTAGAGGCATATATATATATGTGTGCGTTGTTATTGTTGCATGGCATTGCGCGTTTTATGAAGCTTGTTGTATTGTATTTTTATTTGTATGTTGTATCCATTTGTCTGCAGACATCACTCGTCGTTGCTTTTCTGTGTTAATTTTTAATTGTGCTAAATGTGCACATAAATACTTACAATACGTCCGATATATTTCAGCAATAGCACATACACATAACTCACATCATCCACTACACAGTTTTCAATTCAATTTCAACACCCACCCATATTTTGGATTAATTGTGGCCGTTCAGCTTTAGGCGCTGGTTGCTCCACTGATGTTGATAATCATGGTGTTGGTATTAGTTTTGGCTCTGCTTGACATTGGCACAAGCAGCTGTCGCCATACATATATAATTTATATAAATAAGTATGTATGTATGATCTAGTAAAACTGATAAATGTTATATGGGAATCAGATATACCAGTTGTGGTCCACAATGCCAGCTCGTCATCGAATGTTTCGAATGATTAAATTTTATTTGGCCCATTAATTTTAAAAACAAAAATATCAAATATCAACCATTATTTGGTATTAAGTTTTATTAATTTCGATAACATAAATTAAGGACCATACCGACGGGAATACTAACATACATATACAAATTATATTTATATAAATTTCTTATTAACTTTAATGTAGAAAAATTTTTCTCTTATTTAATAAAAAATTGTTTGCTCTTTTTATTATGTTCTACACACATTCTTAGGGAACGAAATTGTCGTGCTAAGCGATTTTCTTTTTTTAAATTTTGTTATATTTCTAAAAATTTATCCTTTAGGTTTTGCACGATAATAGCCCAATTTCTATTTAGCAAAGCACTGGAACTTTTGGGGGGCTCTCCTCTTTAGCAATGTATTGACTGAAATGTTTGAAATACATTTTTATTGTAAGGTAGAGCCGTTTCTTAGGTATTTTTTCATTGAAGTAAATAATCTGCCAGAGAAGGATTTTCGTGCTAAAATTTTTAAATTTAGTTACTAACAAAACATACATATGTCGTCGATTATTCATCAAGAAAACTAGTTATTGTATTCTTATTTTTTAACTGTTATCTGTTTTTTCGATAAACTTGTAAGCTCAGAATATTTAGTAATAAAAATTCACATCAAAAACTTTAATTCATTACAATCCAATCATATCTAAATGGGTGGTAAGGTGGTTTCCTAAATTGTTTAGGTTCCTTATTCATTGTCGGCGTTCTGTTTGCCTTTTTTTTTTTTTAAATATGTGACCCAGCGAATCCCTCCGCTGCAAAAAGAAATTTGAAATTAAATGTGGGTTATTTTAATTGTATTTAATTATGAATCAATCTCCTAAATTGTTGTGGACTCCAATTGTTTTATGTTAATTTTTGAGAAATCAATAAGGTTTGTGATTCAATGAAATCCTTTTTATACATCCGGAAATTATCTCAAATTAGTCACGTTCCTTTACTATTTCCTTTACTATTCTCCACACGTCTGCTATTGATTCGCCAATAAAAATACTTAGTTGCCTTTGCAGTACTCAACAGTTTTGTTGAATACCTGATCCCACTGCCATTTCGCAGACTCCCATAAACAATATTTGGGCCACATCGAAATCACATAAACATTTTTTGCATATTTTTCTTTCAAAGCAAATTGTTTCGTATATTTGCTTTTATTCATCTTTTAACAATAAACATTTTACCGCAGCAATATTTCTTTTGTACTCGGTATTGCTCTTGGCCAACTGCTGCGTGTGGCATGTGGCAAGCCAACTCTTTTCTATCTCTTGTTCCTTTATTTCTGCTTGTTGTTGGTGGAAACGTTTATTGTATGTTGTTGTTCTAGCGTCTGCAAATGGCGCGAGCTTGTTTGGAGTCCCACTGTGATTTCGTATTGCCACAGTACATTTGTATGTGTTTGCGTTAAAACGGTCAGCACTAAGTATTCGAATTGTGTTTGCAAGAATAAATTACTGCGCCCGATTCAAATGTTCAGTTGATTTCGTTGCATATTTTTGAGCGCAGTTGTAAAGTCTACCACGCGTAGAAGCTAGAAAACTGTTGCATAGTTTTCTGCTGACGTTGCGTTAGGCAAATTGCAAGCACAATTTTCGCAAGCATGGCGACCCATTCATGAAGTATACGCACCGTGCTGCACTGCAAATGTATATACATATGTACGTGTTTATTGCTTGATTCATCATATGTATAAGTCAAAATGAGGATGTTAGCAGAGTTATGTGAAAATTTATTGTTTTATACAAATGGTTGAATACTATATGTTGAATAAAATAAAAAAGATATTCACAAATCTATATTTAGACCATGAAACACAGAAGTGGAGAAAATAAATAAAGGTCTCTAGATAAAGAAAAACAACAAAATACACCCATAAATAAACATATTATATATTATGTTTCACAAAGCTGTAACTAACTTAAATTAAATAAGTTTTGACTTTGAGGGCCCCTATAGTTATGTCTTTTCATACAATTTGTCTTCATTTAATTTAAATATGTTCTATTAAACTTGGAAAACGATGATGCTGTCTTGTGAATAATGACTAGGTCTACCAACATTTAATATTTCTATAAAATAGCAAAAATGCGTTAGTGATTTCTTCGCATTTTACTTTCAATGAGAAATATATATATTGAACAGCCATAGAAATCTGGGGCTAAAAGCTAGATAGAAAATATTCTATGGACAACTAAAAATATTTTTGTGACAGTAACCAAATCTAGAAAACCACTAGAAACTATATAAAGATGAGCGTATACAATATAAAGAGTTCCTTCAATCACGTTTTGTATTAAGTTGCCAAAATAAAAACGGCAACAACCAACATTGTACTCAAGTAATCAAGCAATATATGATGTAGATACAATCGCATGACATATAAATCATTTGACGGAATCGGAAGCTAAATAAATACAAATGCCACAAAAAGCGCGAACACTAAACTCAATCGCATTACTCATCACAAAACAAACAGCTAAACAAAGGGGCTAAGCAGCAGCAATTGTTGTTTTGTCGCACTGTTTGATCTCAACATCAATGGATTGGGGAGCCGCTAGAGCATTTAGACACTTCAAACAAAGCAATGCCAAAACAAAGGCGCCAACGAACTTCAATTTGAGGTGTTTGCGCGTGTTTGTTGTTAAAGACTAATGTGTTAAATGGACTGTTTATGCCCCCGCCGCGCCTATAACTAATTAGAGCACCCATTTACTGCATAAATTATGACAAACTTGTTGATCTCAGTTCGAGGTAACTTTGCCCTTTGAGCACACGTTACATACTTGTATTCATATAAATTTTAAGCTGGCGCCCACGCAAATAAGCTTATACAAGCTAAATAAATATACCCAAAGAAAGAGGGAGATAGATAGTACCAAGCTTGGCTTGATTGTCGAACGCGATGATGAAGTTGTACGCAAAATTGGTCAAAACAAAAAGTCGGCAATAACGACAATGCAAGAGAGCGAAAAAAGAGAGGCAAGCATACGAGCAGACTTTCATACTATATTCTAGCGATCCGCGTAATAAATGAAGTTTGCGAGACGTTTATTCAGTTGCTCTGCGGTAGTTGACAGCGCCAGACGCGCCAAACGCGCACCTAACACAAACCATCTCGAAAGTGCCGAATCACTAACAACAACATACGAACGTTTACGATAGCTACGAGTACAGTGCTTGAAGCCGCGAACACGACCACGACCGCGACCCAGACTTTGCTTAGCTCAGCAGTTTACACGCTTGAATTGCCGCCGGTGCGGTAAGAAATTAAGTTGCAGCAGCTCCAAGGTTAATCACTGCACCCACAAGACCCAACTAGATTGCCTCAGATGTCGTTCTTTCGCAACATACGCTCTTCATTGGCATCTTCACGAGCCAAGAGCTCCTCACGCGACTCAACGCCCGTGCGCAGTTCACACTCACGACCGGCCAGCGTAATTAGTGCCGCCAATTCCTCCCGTCGCGATTCAACGACCAGTTCGAGAGCCGACTCTACGTTGCATAGAGGAGACACCTTCATATTGAACACGTCCGATGAGCAGCATTCGAATAACTCCACACTGGAGAAGAAATCAAAAAAGTCCAAGGTGTTTAGCAAATTCAGTACTTTTACGAAGCGCAAAAAGACGCCCTCACCGGAGGAGGTCGCTAGCTACGAACATCATCCCAGCGATACAGCCACCAATACGTATTATAAATGGAAGAGCGATGGCGATCGCATGCTCGACTATGATGCGCAAGCAGATCCCTTCAATTTCCTCTATGAGCAACAATCCAGTCTCAAGGCCCTGCACTCAACTGAGCCGTCTCTGCGACGCGGCTCCAGCGTGGGCTCCAATTCGAGTGGAAGTGCTAGTGCCAGCTTTGACTCCTCCACATATCGCAAAAGTAAAACGCCCACACATCTGCGCGAGCAGCTCGAACAGTTGAAGACCCATTCGAATGATGATCTGCTCGAGCAGAACGATGAGGAGGACGAGCGCGAGAAGTACAAAACCGTAACGCTGAGCAGTTTTCGAAAATCCTTCCGCGATCGCTTGCTGCAGCAACAGAAAGAGACGCCTCACAATCCCGCCTGGTTCGTTCAAGTAGAGCAACCAACGGCAGGAAAAGAATCAAAATCCGATCGACGTGGGGAGTCCAAGGAGAATCGTCCAGACTTTCTTGTCTTTGAGAATGAAAACTATAGACCGCAATCGCGTTCGCCGCTACGCGATCGTCCCTCCCGCTCCATGACTCGTTCGCCCGTCAAACGCAATGAAACTTTCAGAGTGACAGCACCCAGCTCGCTACGCCGCCCCTCACCCTCGCCCACACCCATGCACGGAGCCGCGCCCTCCATACGCATCGAAATAAAGAACTCCATAGCGCCACATCAGCCGGGCCGATTGGTGCCCGTAGGCGTAGCCAAACCCATGCCCACCACAGAGTACTATGCGCAACGTTTGCTGGCCAACAATCAGGCCCGACATTCCCAACCCTCCTCGGCGAGTCCCACAACCAAGTGGTATCGCACCCAACACCCACACTCGCCCACACGACTTGGCACTGGAGGAAGTTTTCAGCAGCAGGCTCCAGGCCGCTATCAGACGCTTGTCCAAATTGGCAATGAGCAGAGCAAGACACCCGTCGTGTTGCCCAGTCGAGGTCGTGCGCCTACCCGCGTTCAGCTGTTCGGCAGCAAGCCGCCCAGCGGCGCCACCTACTTCGGCGATCATCTACCACACCAGCATCCTGCCCAGCACCCAGCAGTGGCGCAGTACCAACGCCCCCAATATAATGCACCTGCTGGTCGAACGCTCAATATTGTGAAGCCGGCTTCGTCAAATTCACGCGCATCCTCTGGGGGCGGACCCACCATATATTTGGGGCGTCGCGAGCAACAATCTACAAAAGTTCCACCGCGCCGTAATCGTTCACCCATCAAGATTCCGTGGCGGTAGGCGGTAACCGATCGACGACCGATCGGTCGATGAGGCATGTGTTTACAAATATAGAATTGCTTTTCTATATGGCTATAACTTGAGTACATAACGACGGCAGAGAAAAGGTATAAATATGAATGCACTCAGAGAAAAATGTGATCCTATTAGAAGTCATGGAAAATAAAGCTACACTAGACTGAAAGCGATTATTTCATAGCAACAGTATTGCAAATTGTGTAACCAAAGTGTTGTAAAATGTCAGACGGGAAGTAGCTGCTAAGAACTAACTAACAATAATAATTTACTTAACTAAGAATGTTGCTAATACTATTTAACTCTGTATTTAAATTATTAAAAAATTTTTTCGTAAAAAAAGCTCAAGCACCAAAAACTCTCCAGTTTTGTGTAATTTTGACTTATTTCTTGGATGAAAAGATCGTATTTAATAGTTAGTTCCGTACTTAAAATTTTTTGTGTCTATTAATTTATATTTTTTATTTAAAAAGTACACATACAGGTATATACTTTTAAAGAAATAAATTGAGCTTTTTCTGTTATTTTAATAGCAAAGCAAAAACCATTTGGGCTGTACAACTTTTTCATTCCGAAACTAATTTCTAAAATAAAAAGACAAACTACTTCTGCCATTTTTTGCTTTTGCCATTTGCCACTGAAATGATGCCCTGCTTTTTAAGCTGAAAACTAACTGTTTTAAAAAATATAATAATTTATTTCTATTTATAATAGTTCATTTCATGTTGTCAACATTATTTCTCTGAGTGCAACGCCAACGACAGTGCGGCTTTTTGTGTGACTCTTGCGTCATGCCAAGTTCTAGATTCTAAGCGAAGGCGGTGGCGGTGGCGATGGCGGCGCTGGTGGCTGCCATCGACGTCTGCTGACAGTGCCCGTGTAGTGAATAATATTTATTTTATTTTGCGATTCGACTCAAATTGTACAAACAAAAGATTAATACAATCTATATCCGTGCCCCCCTCCCTACTCCTGGGCTCTGCCTTGCGGGTTGCTGTACATAATTATTAAATTAAGCAAATAAATGAAATTAATTATGAAAAAACAATACAAAAAAAAAGAAACAACTAAAAACACAGATATAATTGTGTTGATCATTGGTCGGGGATTTCGCAGCACTTTGTTTATTTTATTTTTATTGTATTTCAGCTCCAGGCATATTGTTTTTATATGTTTGGGTAATTACATTCGCAGTCGCGAGACTGGGACTGAGTTCAATATATGCGTCTCTTTTGTTGCAGGCCATTCCATGAAATTGGGAACGCACATGCCAGATACTAAACGAAACAAAAAAATAATAATAATAATGTTTTGCATTTGCATATTGTACAACAATTTTAATGCGTCGACTTTATTGACTTTATTCAGCGAAACAGTTTGAGGTGTTAATTATCCAGCCCCAATGCGATTCATTCACGCACGGCCTCCACAACCAGCTCAGTCTAAATATTGAAACTTTAACTTAGCTCAGCTCTTTATGTATTTTCTGATTCCAGAAATATGAGTAACTGTCCGTGGAAATGAGTCGAGAAGCGTGCGCGTGCGTGTTCAGAATGAAAAATTAACAAATTGGCTCAGGTGTGTGGCTTTCTTGCGTGGCGGAGTGGCGGGCTGGCGTGGAGGCGGGGAGGCGGGGAGGCGGGGAGGCGGGGAGGAGTTAGGAATTGGCAACGGGTGTGGCTACATAGAATATAGAACATTTGGGCTTGGTCTTAGTCATTTTACTCATTATTAGATTATAGTTATTAAAATTTTAGTTTGTTATTCATTTTTATTTTACTGCCGGCGAACGTTTAATGTTGCCATTTTCAAAAGATGTAAAAAGGCAGGAAAAGCTTTTTAATTAACATTAAGTCCTTTCAGCTAAAAAGTATGGCTAAATTTCCAAATATAATCTTGCCTTAGAGCTTCTAATTCAGAAATCGTCTTTAAAGAACTAAACTAAATACCGCAAAGCAGAGCTGTTAGAGCTTATACAAGTATTGCTTATGTTAAACATTCAGGAAGCAAAAAAGTAAGTTCAAGTTGTTATTCATTTTTATTTTACTGCCGGCGAACGTTTAATGTTGCCATTTTCAAAAGATGTAAAAAGGCAGGAAAAGCTTTTTAATTAACATTAAGTCCTTTCAGCTAAAAAGTATGGCTAAATTTCCAAATATAATCTTGCCTTAGAGCTTCTAATTCAGAAATCGTCTTTAAAGAACTAAACTAAATACCGCAAAGCAGAGCTGTTAGAGCTTATATTGCTTATGTTATATACAAGTATTCAGGAAGCAAAAAAGTAAGTTCAAATAAAATGAGTGTTTCATTCTAGAATTTCTAACCTGTGCAAAACGAGTTTGATTTTAATGTTTACTGCTTTTGGCTTTATGGGAAAATCGCCTTAACAGGTGCCTAGTTGCCAAGGCGAAACTAAACGGGTTATGCTTTTCCTAAACGGCAGCTGGCGAAATCGTAGCATGAATATTGTAATACTTTACTACTTGTACTTTACTGTACGGGTACCACAAAAAGTCGAGGGAATTGCGGCAGTCTAAAAAATGAAACAAATGAAAACGAAATATTCCTCTCGACATTTCAATCACACAGTTTTAGTTGTTAATGCTCAAAATATCAAAATAAAGACAGGTGTAAAGCAAAGCACTAGAGTACAAGTTAAGAAGACATACTTGTACGTTTATTTCTCTGAAATGCTTGCGAAGGACTGTACCAAGTGAATGGAATATGCAAACACATCGCGATCTTGAGACAAAGAAAAGTTGAACAATTGTTTGAAATAATGGCTAGAAGCATTAAACTTGTACTTTAACAGTTGACAAGCTGAGTAGTTTGCATACAAATTTAAAATGTATCAAGGCTAGAAAACTCCAAACAAAGAAAACAAATATTTTGCGATCCACGATTCACAAATATTGAAATACTATAAAATAGCTCTTGTGCAGAGTTCAACGATTGCACCTGAAAAACTAAGCCCACTTCGTTGCAGAATGACTGTCTGTCTCCGTAAACCCATGCAAGCAAAACATTCGGAATGCTGATTATATAGTACATATATCGCTCAGATTGTGTGAGAAAAACTTCCCAGAATAAAACAAAATTTACATCCAAAGATGATCATTTACACGTTTCGTTTCGAGAACTTCTTTGGAATATTTTCAATACCAAACTACTAATATTTATTAGTTTCTCCTGATCTACGGAAAATGTTCTCTAACTGCTATCCATCACACCAAAAATGCTCTGTTATAGTGGGTGCACCCTTTAATACCCTTTCTTCTGCGGCACCAGTAACAGTGGGAATGGACGAATGCACCTATTTTTGCTGTGAGATTATGGTTATTATGGTTTTGAAAAGTCAATTTTCCATTTAGGTCCGATTTGTGATGTCTGGAATGTTTTATTTCGTAATTACGTCCTTCTCTGCGCTGCTCATTTAGTTCATTAGCGCGTTTTAAACTTAAAAAATGAGGCAATTGTTCTATTACTTACATTTACAGCCTTAGACTAAACTAATTAACACATTTCACTTTTCAATCTGGCCACCATGGCCAGCAGCTGTGCAGCTGTTTTAACCACATTCTCATACATACTATACAGAAGACTATTAGGCCTCTAACATCTCCAACAACAAAAACAACAACAGCAACGATAACAAATGCTGATTTAAGTTTAGTTGGTAGTGGCATGATCTTGAACTACATGCCAACTACGTAAGTATTTACAAACGAACTACGCATTTTATGGCAGTTAAACATTTTGTTGAGCAAACTTAACTAGACTGTGAAAATTAATGTAAGCTTATATGCGATATGGTAGTCATCATATGGGTCTGCGTGGGTTCACAAACAGGTTAACATCGAAGTCGCAGTAGACAGCCAAAAATGGTGTTAATGAATGCGATTTTTGACAACCGAGCTGAGAAATCTGACAATAAAATTACCCAGACACCCAAAAACCCGAAACGCGTACCCGTGGAAACCAGCAGCTACCTATGGAGCAGAAGACAAGAAGTACTTAGCTTTACTTGTTGTTGTTGTTGTTGTTAATTTCGTCGGTAAATTATTTTATTTTTATTTTTTTTTTGCTCTTGCGATTTTGCAATAAACAAACACTTACTGTTCTCTGCTTCTTTGTATATGGCGCATAGATTTCCAAGTAAACGAAAGCCGGTTTTTGTTAAAACTTTAGTTGTTGCTAGCTACGAGTTGCCAACAACAACAACAACAGCAGCAGCAGCCACAACAACGACGACGACCTACACTTTTTATTTTGCGTTTATTTTTAATTTTTGTTTCTTTCATTTTTTTGCTTTTTTGCTTTTCAAATTGGGCAGACAAACAGACAACTTTATAGCGTCATAGTTAAGAAATGTAGCTTAAAAATTGGCTTGGTTTCTAACTTTATTGTTGTTGTTGTTGATTTACTTGTTCATTCTGTAGTTTGGTTAGAACATATCGCCAATTAGGTGTGTATCGGGCTGTGTGGGTTCATAGTCATGTTTACTGTTAGCGGCGATTTGTAATCGTCTTGGATGGTAGAAACACGAAATAAATAATTCCAGTATTTACATATCTAGGTGAACAAAAATATATAAATACAAGTAAATATGATATTAAAAAATTTGAAAACACTTTTCTGTTCGTCTTCAATGGTCTAAATAAGAAGTGGTTGACAATCAGCTGAAAAATGTTTCAGTTATTGAATGAATTAATGAATTGAAGCGTTAAACAAATAAATATGATATTTTAAAAACCATACATAAAGTTTTTAAAATAATGTCCGATGTAACAAATCGTGTCTTCCAATATGAGATTATATGGATGAGTGATCGAACATTAGAATATACAATAATGCTAAAAATACTCATTCAATATTCGTACAATAGAAAGATAGAGAAACATTTCAACTTCCGGAAAGAAAGGGTATTTTTTTAAAGATCTGTTAACAAACTAAGCAAATTAAAATTGTTGTTCAACATGAAGAACGACTCGATGAGTGGATGTAAATACTTGCAAGTGTTTTCTATTTCTTCCATACAACAATTTCTAACTAAACTCTTTAACTACTTTGTACCGAACGAGATCTTTGTCGAAGATAAAAAACAGATTTAGGGTTCCTGCTAAGAAAAGAATTTTTATAACAACACATTCAAACAATACAGAGGATTCTTGAGTAAAATATTCTTTTGAATATTTTGATATTTGTATGCACATGACTTTAGTTGCGATATTAAGTTTTTCTATTAATGATTTGTTCTAATTATCGAATAAAACTGTACTAGCTCCAAATTAAATTATAGACTGTTTAGAATAGCTTAGCTATTAAAGAAAAATGCCGGGTATAAAGGCTTAAAAAGCACACATATTGCCTGAAGCTGTTCCTAATAAAATAACTCAATATTTAATTATGGAAACACCTATTAATTCACTAAGAATTAATGGACATTCAAAAACTTAATGAGCATTTTCAAGATTTTTTTTTGAGTGTTATTTAAACTGAGTCTAAGTGTTGAAACCCACATTTGATTGGAACCCTCATTTAGACAGCCGCATTACCAAAGCAACCCAATGTCTATTCTTAGGGCTCTGAGGCAGATCATGGGCCTTCGACTCCGAAACCATTAGCTGGCATTACTGCGTGGTAGTCAGACGTATTCTTATATAAGCTGCCTTCATATTGTTCTCAAATAGCGTATAGGTTTCAATAGTAACTAAGCAAGAATGGTACTTAAAGTAAAAATTAAGAAAAATAATTGGTTAATTATTTTAACACAATTTTGAATCTGGTGGAGCTACAAGGAAATCTAGTAGTTCCAGTTCAAACTATACTATATACTGTCATTGTCATTTCAAAAAAAAAGTTTTTTCCTTCTACGTAGACAGTTTTTTGAATATTAAATCAAAACAGTTCGTCTTGAGTTGACTTCATCGTTGTTGCCTTCTATTGCATTTAAACGCACGAGTCATTCGTTAACTGTTGCCTCTAATGACATCACCAGCTCATCATGGTCATTATCATCATCACCATCAACATTATTAACAACAGTTCGCGTTTATATGGTTTTGAACTCAAACGCAAAA